AAAAGTTATTAGGAGACATAAATTGGATAAGACCTTATTTAGGTATACCAACAGGAGAGTTGGGACCTTTATTTGATATCCTAAAAGGTCCATCAGATCCAAATTCACCCCGAATGTTAACGCCTGAAGCAAGAAAGGCATTAAAAATCATTGAAACATATATGGAAAATATGCATTTGGATAGAATTGATATAAGTTTGCCTTTATTATTTATTGTACTACCAACAAAAAATATTCCTACAGGAGTATTTTGGCAAGAAGGTCCATTATTATGGATACATTTATCTTATTCTCCTAACACTATTCTTACTAGGTATCCTGAGGCTGTAAGACAATTAATACTCAAAGGAATAAAAGCAGCAAAGGGAGTGTTTGGAATTTCTCCCAATAAAATTATTACTCCATATACTATGAATCAAATTGATGAGTTAGCTAATGACTTAAATACTTGGGCAATAATCATGTGCAAATCTAATGTTTCATTTGATAACCACTTACCATCTAATCCTTTATTGTCTTTTTGGTCATTGCATCCTGTAATTTTTCCAAAAATGACAAGAAAAACACCTATCATGAATGCTCCAAATATATTCACTGATGGGTCAAATAATGGTACAGCAGCAGTGGTTACCCCTGATCAAACTTTTACATTTTTAGTACCCAAACAATCAGCTCAAAAGGTAGAGCTTAATGCAGTTTTACAAGCTTTTGTGATGTTTAAAGATTCTGTATTTAATTTATTTTCTGATAGTCAGTATGTAGTTAATGCTATAGTATCTCTTGAAGATGCTGGTAGGATTTCCCCTTCTTCTACTGTTTTCTCTTTGCTTTCCACTATACAAAGTCTAATCTGGGACAGAAAAGAACCATTCTTTATAGGACATATCAGGGCACATACAGGATGGCCTGGAGCCCTTAGTTTGGGCAATGATTTAGCAGATAAAACTACACATGACATACTTATTTTCTCTACACTAGAAGAAGCTATAAATTTTCATAAAAAGTTCCATGTCAATGCTAATACTTTACAAAAGCGTTTTAAAATAACTAAGGAACAAGCTAGACAAATAATAAAACAATGTCAAAATTGTGTGACCTTTTTACCACAAGTTAATCTTGGAGTCAATCCTAGAGGATTGATACCTAACCATATTTGGCAGATGGACGTCACACACTTGCCAGAATTTGGAAAATTAAAATATTTGCATGTTACAGTTGATACTTCTTCTGGATTTCTGATGGGCTCCCTTCATGCCGGAGAAAAAACTAAAGATGTTATAGCTCATTGCTTACAAAATTTTGCCACTGTGGGTGTTCCAAAACAGTTAAAAACAGATAATGCCCCTGGTTATACTTCTACCTCTTTTAAACAATTTTGCTCAACATTTGGCATTACTCATATAACAGGAATCCCATACAATCCACAGGGACAAGGCATAGTTGAAAGAGCTCATCAAACTATTAAAATGTACTTATTAAAGCAAAAAGAAGGAATTGGGAAGGGGTATATATTCCCCAAAGATAAACTTAAAATAACCCTTTTTACTCTAAACTTTTTAAATTTGGATTCATCAGGACTTAGTGCTGCGGAAAGGCATATGTGTCCAAAAAATGTGCATAAGCCCAAGGTACTTTGGAAGGATATTCTAACAGGACAATGGAAAGGTCCTGACCCAGTAATTGTCTGGAGTCAGGGATCTGTTTGTGTGTTTCCACAGGGAGAACAGCAGCCGATTTGGATTCCAGAGAGATTAACCAAGGTCCTGACCCAGTGATTGTCTGGAGTCGGGGGTCTGTTTATGTGTTTCCACAGGGAGAACAGCAGCCGATTTGGATTCCAGAAAGATTAACTAAAGCGATTTCTACAGACCAAAAAGAAGATGATTTGGCTCAAATCCATAACAACTGATATCCAAAACTCCAGTTTGGCTATTCTTACATCTGCAACAGAACCAGGATGCTTTTTTCAATATCTATTTTATTATTGCCCTTTGCCATATCATGAAGTTCTATTTTGTTTTTTGAGCTCATACAGACCTAGGTTAATGTTTTGCTGATCAGTTCTATTTTTTGACTATACAGTTTTTAAGCATTGCAATGGAGATTTCACCTGTAAAAAGTTATAAGGCCTTTACTATAATGTTATGTGTTGTATGTATTATATTATGTGTGCACACTTGTGTTTTGTGTTATATGTTTGAATGTACGTATGTCCATATATCATATATGATGAGCGCTCATGATAAAATGAATCCAAATATTTTTTTTTTCACGTGATTTATATGGTTTAATTTAAATTGGGTAAACAACTGTTGAGGATTGTTTTAATATGTAAACAAAAAAGAAGGTTAACAGATCTGTTTGTTTACTTTCACCTTTCCTTTTCATTATATTTAATAATTCTCTTAAAGATAATGTAAATTGTTAAGAAAATTGTTTTCTTTTAGTGCCTTCTGTAATGTTACATAATTTTTTCTTTAGCCATTATTGCCAGAATTCCTATCTTCATCCCAGTGCTGGTGAAGTCAAAGATAAAACCAATCTACAGCTTCTACAATAGCCATCACTGAACTGCTTGCAGAACTTGCCTGGACACATTGTGAGCTCACCTGTATGCATTGTGAACTATCTGTTGGTGCAGCGACTTGTGGTAGTGTTGGGGTATTTTTGCTGATGATGTCATTGGTGGTACAATTTTTCCAAAAGGAGCCGTCAATTGGCTTGGTGTATCTTCCTCCCTTCTGCTTGTCATGATCGTCCAGCTAAAATTTGGGGGCCAACAGAGGTGAGGCAAAGAACCTCACCCCCCCGCTGGTACAAAGACCTCTCCACAGGTGTGGCTGTATACTGGACCGGTAGTCAGTGACGGGTAAGATCCAATTGCAATGGTACCAACCTAAGGACCATATGTACTATTGGACAACCTAAGGCAGGCACGGTCCCTAAGCCACATGCTTGTTGTTTAAACAGAGAGGGGGAGATGTTGAGAGCCACAGCCCAAGGGGCCCCAGCAAACTTCCAGCTGCCAGCAAACTTCCAGCTGCCGGCTGATGATTGGCTCACAGCGGCCCCAGCAACATCTAGCTGATTGGCTCCTTGGCCCCAGCAACATCTAGCTGATTGGCTCCTCTTCGGTGATGCTCATTGGGCTGTTTCCCTGCCCTTTCAGACCACGGAGCTGCTCATTGGGGGACTTTTTTGGCTCCGCCCACGTGACCCAGCCAATCGGCCTCAAGAGCAGGAGGATTGTGGGAGGTGGAGAGAAGCTTGTGTGGGAGAGAGAGGCTTGTGGAAAGCCGGTGGTGGCAGTTGAGGCTCTGAGGGTTTTTCCTGAGAGGCTGTTTTGTTTGGCGTGTGTGGTTCTAAAAATAAAGTTAGTTTCTTTTGACAAGTGGCTCCTGATTGTGCCCAGCCAGACTGCGGCACTTTTTCATTTTTCTTTTAATATTCTTTTTTATAATTTTATTATTTTTTTAATGTGGTGTTGAGGATCGAACCCAGTGCCTCGCTCATGCTAGGCAAGCGCTCTACCACTGAGCCACAACCTCAGCCCAGTAAAGCCTTTTCTTAAAGGACCAGAGAGTAATTGGCTTAGGCTTTGCAAGCCATTTGATCTCTGTCCCAAATCCTCAAATGCTGTTGTGGTGTGACAGCGGCCACAGGCAATACAGAAACATGCAGGCATGGCGTGTCTCAGGAAAGCTTTGCGCATCACAGACTTCAGCTCCCTGACCTCTGATGTAGAGGCCACATAAGGGAGGTGCTGAAACTTCATGGGGATGGATGGAGAAAAAGAGAGTGAGTTCATCTCAGAGTCACAGCTGAGCCCAGCCTTCCAGCAGGGAGCCAGACACTAAGTGAGCCATCTTGAACATTCCCCGCCCAGGAGAGCCCCAGATGACTGCAATCTTGGCCAGTGTCTCACAGAGCAGAGGAATCTCCAGCTGAGTCCAGTCAGCCCACACACTCATGAGAGGTAATATGATGACTATTGCTTTAAGCCACTCAAGTTTAGAGTGGTAGGTAACACGGCAATGTTGTAAAAGGCAGGGATTCTCAAATTTGGCACTATTGACACTGTGGGCCAGAAAGTTCTGTGCTGAAGGGGCCCATCCTGTGCACTGTAGGATATTTAGCCGCATCTCTGACTCACCCATTAGATGCCCCTAGTTATGACAACAAAAAGTGTCTCCAGATACTACCAAGAGAGCCTGCAGGGTAAAATCACCACTGGTTGAAAACATTGGTATAAACTAAAAGAACATAAAACTGAGACAGAGCAACCACTGAGGCACTTCCCCACCACAGGGAAGCTGAGCAAAGTGTGAACCAGGGTGAAGGCAGGGCTAGTTTATGACTCTGAAAGGCCCTCAGGCTCTTTTGCCTTCACCAGCCCCTTCTCCATAAAAAGAAATAAAATAAAATTACATTTATAACAACAAGTTACATTTTATGACTACACTGATATAAAGAATTCAATCCAGGGAGCTGGAGGTATGGTTCATTGATAAAGCATTTTGTTAGCATGAACAAGGCCCTCGGTTCAATACCCAGCACAAAAAAATTAAAAAATAAAATAAAGGCCATAGTCTAGAATCATTACTATATGCATTTTTTTATGATTTGAGATTAAATGAAGCTAGTTAAAACAAATCTCTTAAATACCATGGGCCCATAAGCACTGTGTCTCCTATAACTAATGGATCAGGGGACATCACTGAGGTTCCTAGAACCAGCTATGCCTGAAGTTTGACTCGTCTCTGGATTTCCGAGTTTCATGGTCAATACATTCAATCTTCAAATCGAGTTTCTGTTACTCACAACCAAGAAACTTGACTTACTTGATCTCCCAGCTCCAACAAGAGGAACATAAGTCTGGGTCTGTCTTATTCAGACCAGAGTTTTTAACCCACTACCACCAACCACTCTCTCATTCCACCTGCGGCATTGTTCTAGCGTTCTATATCAGGACAGTTTTTGAGAAAAAGTTCCTTACTTACACTTCCGGACGAAGTTGCTCACGTGCTTAATCTTCATCAGAGCAGGCTGACTGCATTCTTCAAAGAGAACAAAGAGGGCATCTAATATCCCTTCTCGGGAAAGAGGAGACATCTGCTGTTGAGTCATAAAGGGTGGTTTCCCCTAAAAACAGCCAACAGCAGATGGAGACACTGTCAATAACGAAAAGTTTTGATCAATAACATCCACACAGTAAATTACAAGCCACCAACTCAACTAACTGCTCACGACACACTACCAGCACAATTTGGGGGCTTCATTCTATAAAGCAGCAGCAATTGACAGTCATCATCACTTGCACAATTCCATTACTGTGGGTTTCTCTTGCTAGCAGCTGGAAAGAAAAAAACGTCACAAGCATGTCACAAATAAGAAAGGGTGCTGACCCAGGAACAGTGGCATGCACCTTAATCCCAGCTATTTGAGGGGCTGAGGCAGAAGGACCACGAGTTCAAGACCAGCCTGGGCAACATAGCAAGATTCCTTCTCAAAAACAAGGTCCTTCATTCTTAATGGTCTGAGGCTCCTGGGAACACTTACTCTGGACGTGCCTGTTCTGACCCTTTTCTGTGTCTCTACAGTATGTGTGCCCAGAGTCTGTTAATACAAACTTCAATTTCTTTTTTTTTAAATTGATTTTATTTTTTTAAATACATGATAGGGGAATGCATTACAATTCTTATTACACATATAGAGCACAATTTTTCTTTGTATACAAAGTATGTTCATGCTAATTCATGTCTTTATACATGTACTTTGTTTTTTTGTTTTTAGTTTTTTTGCATTACAATTCTTATTACACATATATACCCCAATTTTTCATATCTCTGTTTATATATAAAGTATGTTGACACCCAATTCGTGTCTTCATACATGTACTTTGGATAATGATGTCCATCACATTCCACCACCTTGCTAATCCCCTGCCCCCTCCCTTCCCCTTGTCCTATCTAGAATTCATCTATTCCTCCCATGCTCCCCCCTCCCTACCCCACTATGAGTCAGCCTCCTTATATCAGAGAAAACATTCGGCATTTGACAAACTTCAATTTCTTTAATTCATTCAGAGTAGTTTAATTCATTTAGAGTAGTGCGCACGGAGTGACTATAAGCCGAATTTATTCATGATCAGGAGGAACAGTTACAAACTGGCAGACTGTGTCTAGCCCACAGACATGTTTTGTTTGGCCTGTACTGTTTAAAATAATTTGAATTATCTGCCAATATTTAAAAATCAGGATCTCTCTCTCTCTCTCTCTCTCTCTCTCACACACACACACACACACACACGAAAAGAGAATGTCTGGCTTCTCTTGAAATTGATGGATCTACCAACACTGCCCCATGTTCCTGCCCGGTGACACTGCTTGGGAGCTGAATGAAGCTACCCACCTCTTGGCAGTGGATATGCTCCAGAGTTCACTACATACTTGACCCCTTCATACCCAGTGCCTGGTCCCCAAAGACAGTGTTATACAGCCCATAAAATATAAATATTTTATTATTTACAGAAAAAAATTAAGAATCCTGGGTTAGACTACTGAGTAATGAAAGACTTCATGAAGAAGAGAAGCCATACGAGGGAAGGAAGACTGAGGTACCCCAGCCAGCAGTTGGCACCCAGATTTTCCAGTCCCAGATGGGACCCCAGCTGATGTCACAGGGTGGAGTAAAAGAAGCACTTCATTGAGTCTAACCAACCCACAGAATGCTGAGAAAAAGTAAGACCCTGTGGCTTTAAACTTTGTGAGTGGTTTGTCCTACAGCACTGGACAAGATGAACAGAATGGCTGCATTTGAGTTCTTTCTAGAGAACTGGAGAGATAGTTAATGAAAAAAAGAAAAGAAATGAAAGAGAAAAAGAAAAAAAAAAAAGATTCTCTGGTCTTATCCCCAACCTCCCGAATTAAAATTTTCTATATTCTAGCTTAAAATCTGTTTTCTAACAAGTCTTCCAAGAGATTCAGAGTTTGGTTGGGTTTGGAAAGCTGGGCCACATTTACTAATAGTTGCCACTAACTCAGAAAAATAAGATTCTTTGTTTTCTTCTGTTCCTAATGAATTTAGGCCAACTAGACCAAGGGTTGCCAAACAGTACCAATTCTGACCAAGATTTTCAACAGCCCACAATGAAATGCAATGAAACAAGCCCCAGGTGACATCTCTTTCATAAAGCGAAACATATTCAAATTTTTAAATGGTCCTTTTTTTCTGAGATGCTGCTCTTCCCCTCTTGGTATTTCTTATGATGCCCTTTCTTTAGAAAATAAAAAAGAGGAGAGCAGGCTTTTCTTTTGGTTTTTTCACATCCTGACTTGGCAAACCTAAGTCTGCCTAACAATTTGTGGAACTTTTCTGGGTCTGGAAATCTGCCAAGACGGACTGAGAACAGTCTGGGAAGCAGGGTTGAGTGGAGGGAAACAAGAAAAACTGTGAGATTGTCCAGAGTACTCACCTGAATGGAAAACAAACTCGATACTGTATCTAAACCTCAATAAAATAGCACAGTATGAGAAAAGAACAAGGCAAATGTCAGATGCATGCTACACTTGCAATAATACCTTTCCTGGCAGCAGGAGGGGATCTTGCTATGGTCTAGATGTCCCCCAAGGGTTCCTGTGTTGAAGACTTGGTCCCTAGTGTGACAGTGTTAAAGAGGTGAAGCTTTAAGAGGTGAGGACTAGTGGAAAGGGATTCTGTCTTTTGGAAGGATTAATGCTTTTTTCACCCTCTGAACTATGAGAGCATGCTGCTATAAAAAAGAGCAAATTTGTCCCTCCCTGGGTCTCTGGCTTCCTATCTTATTCATGTCATCCCACCTTTGTGACACCATCCACCAGGAGGCCCTCACCAGAGCCAAGCATAAGTTCATGCTATACTCTTGAATATCCCAAACTGTGCTAAATAAACCTTTTCTTTATGAATGTCTTTCTTCAGGCATTATGCTATAGCAACAGAAAACAAGACTGAGACACTCAGCATTAAAAAGAGACCCTGCATGCATAAGGCCCTGGTTTCAATCCCCAGCACCACAAAGAGAGAGAGAGAGAGAGAGAGATGAACTGAGGGTTTACTTACAATCCTTACTGATATAATGACACTTAAATGTAAGATACACTTAATAAACCCTGATATGTACTAGAAGCATGGCCCAGCATTTCTGTGAGCAGCCTCTAGAATCAGATCCAAGATGAAGACTGACTCTACCACTTACAAGCTGCATGATCTTGGGTAAGTCCTTGTCTACCTCTATATTTATTTTCTCATTTTTTTTAAGTATAAATAAGTATAGTCCTTACCTCTGTTATGAGGCTGAAGTGAGATAATAAGGAACATGCTAGTCCTGTGCCCAACACTGCAGAAGCTACAGCTACTATAAAGTCATCACATTATGGGCCATTAAGTTATTTTGTAATAAGTAGGGGACAGGTTGAAGTTAAAAAAAAAAAAAAAAAAAAGGCTTAAAAGTAACAGCACTTCCACCATCTAAGATTAGAGACAGATCACACATTTGTGAAAAATATCTCATGATTTAAAAATGATGCGGATGGACCCACAGAACAACCTAATCTTCTAATCTAATTCTACTCTGATCTGTATGGAAATCCCCAACACTAATATTTTATGGAAGAAAAGGTTAGCAAGAACATATTACTATTCACCATCATTTAGGTATCCCACATATATACCTAATTATAATTCTGTTAACAGACATGTATCGTGACTATAACTATACTATGCCACACTTGGGATGAACTATAGTTACCATTTATAAAGGGCTTACCAAAAGCCAGGCAAGGTGCTAAGTGCTCTATATGGATTATCTTATTTAATCCTCACAAGAACTGTGATTAGGTGCCTCCTGTTTTAAAGAGCAGATCCAAAGAAGGTCATTGACCCATGCAAAGAAACAAAGCTAACAAGTGCTGGCTGGTAGGAGGATTCAAATCTAAAATCTTTACCACTGTCTGTTCTCTGGGCTTGTGAATACATCAGTCAAATAAGGATTCCTACTTCACCAGCATTCCATATATACCAGAAACAAAAGGATTAAATATCTACTTGGAAATATCTTCATGACATTAAGTTTCAACACTTCTGGGATGAAGGAAGTGTTATATATCTTGAGAAGGATGGGAATTACACAGGTGTAGTACTTATCAAAACTGGCTTTCCTTTTTAAATCTAAAAAGCAAACATCCCTCAAATGAAAAAAGATTAGACCTACAGAAACTTTGGTTAAAAAAAGAGTGCCTTTGTTCATTTGTTCTGCTTTCTTTAATAAAAGGATGAAGTTTAGAACAGAAGTGAAAGTGTGAGAAATGATTTAAAAAAAAAAAATTTCTCAAGGGCAAGTTCAGCTATCTACCCACTGCACAGTGGATCCTTTTTCCAATACAATCGTTACATAAAAAATATCAAATTGGATTTCTCTTAAAATATTAACCTCGGTCCTATGAAAAAAACAGCAAAGGTGAATGGTAAAGAACTGCTAAGGCAATAACACAGGTGAGCACTATTGGCAGGAAACTTGTTACCTGGAAGAAGAGATTCAGCCTGGAGGCCCGGCTGGCAATGGGCTCAATGGCACCAGCATCCTGTGTATTCCGTGATCCATACTTGAACTTCAGCATCTCCTCACTGGTGCTGAAGGGATATGAGAAAAGGTCAAGTATGCAGTGACATTTTGAGCAGGAAGGGCTTGAGAAATCCTCATCTCCCTCAAGCTCTCAGGGACGGGGAGATGAAAATCGGCCACTCTCCCAGTTTTAGGAAGCTCAGTCTGGCCACAGGGAGGAAAAGACAACCTGTAACAGGAAGGGATACATTTCTCTGACACACTCTTACTTATAAATGTGTTAATTATCTGCCCCCCTGCCACTCCTTTGAATACAAGCTCAACGTAGGCAGGGATTTCTGTCCCCACACAGTCGGCACACACATAAACTAACACGTAGTGATTGAGAATAAATAGTTATTACATGAATAACTGACATAAGCAAATTACATTGATGTTGAAAGATGGGAAGTGCTGTCTTTTGTTTTAATGAGCAAGGTAGGGGACAATGAGAGTGGGGAAGAAGAAGTGGTGCATTTTTTTTTTCTAAGTGCAATCTGGATAAACTTCACTGACAAGGTAGCATTTAAACCAAGACCTGAAGGGGGTGACCAGCAAGCCTTGCTGTCATCCGGAGAAGAAAGGCACAGTATCCCTGGCAGAGGGAACAGCCAGGGCAGTGGTCCTGAGGCAGGTCCTGGCCTCCTTCGACAACAGCAGGAAAGGCATTGGGGCTGAAGCAGTGAGAGGTGGAAAGGAAAAGATGATGAGAGTATGGAGACACTGGAACAGAGAGGGTAAGTAAATTGTTGTGGTCACACAGATAATGAAGAGCTGAAGACTCCACTGGAGAGAACAATTCGGGGAGGAATGCTGACAGGAAGCAGACTGTGACGTTTATGAGAGGAACAAGCCCCACTTCCCCAGGCACCGCGGGGCAGACCCTTGGGCTCCCGTGGAGGGTGGGCGCGTGCCCTGTCAGCCCGGGCGCGCCCTCGCGGCCCCCGGCAAGCCCAGGAAGTGGAACCACCGCCCTCCCCGCCGCGGAAGGGAAAGCCGGGATTGGTACGGGTGGAGGTGACCCTTCCCCTGGCCTGACAGAGCTGGGTGAAGAATTGGGGCGGGGGTCAAGACTCACCCACAGCCGACCCTGCAAGCCTGCGCCCCGCGACTCCCGCCGCAGCGTTTGAACCCGGGGAACGGCGCAGGCGGGGCTCAGCCGTGCCTGGACCAATCATTGCGCGCAAACCTATGATAGACAGGAGCGTCTCAACCAGGCCCCGCCCAAGTCCTTAAAGGGACAGAGGAAGTCGAAAGAAGAGCCAATCAAATTGCTTCTTCCTTTGACTTGTGACCAATAGGAAAGGGGGAAGGTCAAACCGGGCAGGGCCGGTCTCGGAAGTTTGAAATTGGCGGTTACGCAGTTTGTCGTGTTTAGGGACACTTCTGTTTGTCGGATCCCTCGGGGAGGTGGCTTAGGAGGGCGCTGTCTTCTCTCTCAGGGCCACCTGTGAGGAGAAAGGCCCCTCTCCTGGACTTCTGGTCCCGCACACAGGGCTATAGTCGAAGTTACTTGTTACTTTGTGAAACAAACCCTTTCTGCACTACAGCTGAGGCCGCAAAAGCTTTGAGCTTGATCTTCCGCCTGCCTGGCTTGCTGCACCTCTGGGCTGACTGTCCTACAACAAGTTGGTGAAGGTCGTTGAGACAGCCTGAAAGGGTATTTTTAAATAAATTCGAGACAAGATCATTAAATAGGCAGACTTCACCAAAGAAGAAATTCAAATGTTCAGTGGATGAGAGGAGCCCCCATCTCAATTGTAATCAGGAAAAATGAAAAACAAGACTAGGAAAAAAAAAATTCTGACAGTATTTGCGAAGATGTGGAGTCCCACTTACACATAACTGATGGGAGTGGGAGTGTAAATTGGTAAAACTCCGAAAAAAAGTGTTTGGCACTCTTCACTATTTGCTAGCAAGGAAGGTTTGTGCACTTTATGACTATTCTTGGGAATATTTTCTCTACCTTAAGAGAAACTCCTGTATGTACTCCATGTGAGGTGTACAAAAATACACAATGCAAAATAGTATTGACAATATCATGACCAAAAAAAAAAAAAAACTGGAAGCAGCCCAAATGCCCAACAACATTAGGAAGGATAAATTTTTATATTGCAATGTTTTCACACAGCAATGAAAGGGAATAGATTACAGCTAATCACAATGACATAATGAGTCTCAAAACAATGCCAAGTGAAAGAAGACAATCCAAAGTAGGATTCCATTAATATAAATTTCAGAAGCAGATGAAACAAAGCAATGTTGTGAGGGATGTACATACAGGTGGTAGAACCATAAAGAAAGCCAAAATTCAGAAGAATAGATACCTGAGGCTGAGATGGAGACCTTTCAGGGTGTCAAGAAATGCTGCTATGGTCTATTTCCTAACCTGAGTGGTGATAATATGGATTTGTTTTATAATGATTAAAGTATGTGTGGGTGCATGTGCTTATGTTCTGTTTGTATATGTAAATATATGTATATAAATACATATATTTGTATAAGTATTTATATATACAAACAGAACATATGCACATGCACCCACACATACACGCACATATATATATGGCAGTCTTTCCTGTAGTCTTCTAATCCTTGAACTAGATAAAATATAGATGTCTCCTCAGTCCCTCTCTTTCTCATACACACACACAGACACACACACACACACACACACACTCACACTCATATATACAGGAGCAAAACCAAAGCAAAAGTGCTTAATACACACTTTTTTCCCAAACATGACTTTCTTCTTGTTCTCAGGATAATAATGATAGTTACTATTTATAAAGCCCCCCCCACCTTTTAAAATCAAAAATCTTATTTCACTGTAATCTACATTCTATATGTAGGGAAACTGAGAAATGGAGTGATTAATCTTGGGGCTTGCAGCTTTAGATAGTGGGGCTGGGTTGGCAACACCTGGACTAACTCCACATTCCTTTCTTCTACACAAAACCTGCATTTCAGTGGGCATTAGAAATTCTTCCAGCCTCTTCTTGCAGAGGTTGACCCTGTCCAGAAAAAAAATCAAAATGAGGAATGCTTCTAAACCTTCTACGGGAGGAGGTTAACCAAGGTTTTGGGCTGTCCAGCTGAGTGGAGATGTAGATTGTAGACAGCTGAAGCCCAACTAGATACAAAGAAATCTCAGAAACTATGAAAGCTAATTTAGTAAATGTATCTGCTTATTTTTCTCATCTAGTCAAACTTGTTAGTATCCAGATATCACAAATAGAAGCCTTTGCCAGAATCTTTCAACTAGTTCATCCTAAATTCAAATTTATGTTAATAGCACCATTTTGTACTGCCCTGAATCCAGACTACATATCCTACTACTTTCCCATTAGAATAATTATTGGTGTCTGCAAATCCTTTGTGGAACAAGATAGGGAATAAACAATAGATTAAAAGAATAAAGAAACATAAAGCAAAAAATGTTTATAGGGAGAGACAGAGAGAAAGGACCAAGATTAACTGTGTTGAGACTAAAGGGATAAGATGCTGCCAAAAGCCAGGTGCAGTGGTGCCCAACTATAATCCCAATGACTTGAGAGGCTGAGGCAGGAGGATCACAAGTTCAAAGCCAGCCTCAGCAACTTAGTGAGGCCCTAAGCAACTCAATAAGACCCTGTCTCTGAATAAAATATCAAAAAGTGTTGGGGGTGTGGCTCAGTGGTTAAGTGCCCCTGAGTTTAATCCCCAGTATGCCCCCTCAAAAAAAAATGCTGCCAAATGAAAAAAACTTATCCTTAAAACTAGGCTGACAAGAAAACAGAGACTTCATGTTTGTTCTTGCACAGAATGAAGCAACAACCAATCATTTGCTAAACGTGAGTCCATGATTACTGTGACAGAAACTTGGGAAGAACACCATCATCACTGATTATTAATGAAGGATATTAGGATATTCTTTCATTTATTTAAAAAAAATTATGGTGCCAACCACTGGGGGGGACCAAAATGAAAATGATGCCCTTCTTGTCTATTGTTGAAAAGTCAAGGTTAGCGGAGAAATAAGCAAACTATTGTGGAAAACTGTAATAAATTCCTGGGATAGGGTAGGGTACAGAGTGCTGTCGTAATCAAAAGGAGAGAAAATGGTATGTGAAAGCAAAAACCCTCACCTGAAACTTGAAAATAAAGGAGATGGAATTGTCCTCAGAGCCTTCAGCTGGGAGGCGGCTCAAGCAGAGTTGTGCCAAGAAACCTTCTAGAGATAAGAGGAATGGCCGCCAGACTCAAACTAGTCTTGCTGGAATGTTAAGCATTGGCATGCTAGATACAAAGAGACAAAGCTATTCAGGTTCCCTTGGCAAGTGCTATGGCTTAAACCTGTCCCTCCCCTAACGTCACTTCCTGGAAACTTAACCCCCGCCCTCCATGGTACGTGGATGGTGGAGCCTTTAGTAATTACTAGAGTTGGGATCTGCAAGGTCTCCCCAAGGCTCACGTGGTGAAGGTTCAGTTCCCAAGGCAGCAGTGCTCACCAGCGAGGCTTCTGGGAAGCGACGGCATCTGATGCATCTGATTCCATCAGTGGATCAACCCATTGGTGGCTTCATGATTGAGTGGACTCTTGGGAGGTGGTGGAAACCGTAGGAGGTGGGGCCTGGTTGGAGGAAGTATGTCACTGGGGACCTTACCTGGAATGATGTATCTTGTCCCCAGTCCCTTCCTTGCTTGCTGTCTCTGCTTCTTGGTTGTCATGAAATGCATAGCTTTCTCCCTTCAGGTCCTTCTGCCCTGATATTCTGCGTCATGATAGGCCTAAAATCGGTAGAGCCAGCCAGCCATGCACTGAAACCTTTAAAACCAGGAGGCAAAATAAACTTTCCCTCCTTTGTTTTTCTCAGGGTTGTTTTGTTGTTGTTGTTTTGTTTTGTTTTTGTTTGTTTGCAGTAGCAGAAAGCTAATGCAGGATTAATTAGTATTAGATGAGGCCATGAGATTGGCATCCCATGACGTCATTTATAAGAGAAATGGAGACCGGAGCTGGGACTCTTGCTCTATCTCACTACTAATGCCCTCTGCCATGTTTACAATGCAGCAAGAAGGCCCTCACCAGATGCCGAGGAGTTACCAGCACCATGTTCTCGGACTTCCTAGCCTTCAGAATTGGAAACCAAATCAACCTTTTTTTATATATGTATAAATTATCCAGTCTCAGTTATTTTGTTAGAGCTACAGAAAATGGATTCAGGCAGCAATGAAGAGTTCCTCAAGCTAATTTAGCCGCAAATAACTTCTAAGTAATAAAAATAACTACCATGAGCTGATTGTTTTGTAAGGACAAGCCACATCCTAGACTTTCTCTGTTTTCCTCATCAATGGTAGAAGAGACATTTTCAGGTGGCATACTAATGTCATTTATGTTTTAAATTGCATATTTAAATTATATATTTTGCCTGTGTTAGTAAAAACTATAGCCAGTTCATCAAACCAGGTATAGATGATATCACTTGGGGTGAGGTTAAAGACAATATTTAAAAAGAAACCATTGGGGCTGGGGATGTGGCTCAAGCGGTAGCGCGCTTGCCTGGCATGCGTGCGGCCCAGGTTCTATCCTCAGCACCACATACAAACAAAGATGTTGTGTCCGCCGAAAACTAAAAAATAAATATTAAAAATTTTCTCTCTCCCTCCCTCCCTCCCTCTCTCACTCTATCTTTAAAAAAAAAGGAAACTATTGATATTGAATCAGTAAAGAAAATGTTAATATACAGTATTTGGGAGGTAGGTAGATAAAACTAAAAAAATCAAAATTTAGAAAACATTATATATCTGATATGATTCTCAAGCCAGCCCTTAAAATAGGCATTAATAGTAGCACCTTCATTTAACCAAAAGAGAAATTTAAGCTTCAAGAAATTGTCACATACTGGTAAGTGCTAGAGGCAGGACTTGAACTGGATGAGCTCCTTCATTCTAAGGCCCATTTCAACAACCACCAAGCTGGTCTGACTTCTGCTTTTGTTTATCCCAGCACCAAGCACAGAATAGATATTTACAAGGATTTACAGACTGTGATAAAATCTAGCTTCAACCTCATTTGATTACAATTTGGTTTCTCATAGGAATACACCTGGAGTGGTGATTCACATGGGGATCACCTGGGAGCTTTAA